TGATTAAAAGCAATTTGAAGAAAGGAAACCAAAAAGTAATTTGGCGGGCGGTAACTGAATTTCAAAGAAAAATTCATATTTCTAGAAAGTTGAGTTTCTGCCCTTTCATATGACACCTCAATCAGGAAAATGATTAAATAATGTTTAAATAATGTTCATAATTCCATAATACAGACAATCCGCAGTAATTGTCATAAGCAACTTGGCCATGTAAGCTGCGCAGGGCTAGCTGACTGTGCATTTACTACTTCAGGCATTTTGCACAGTGAATACATAACCTCCTCGCACTTCAGAACGTGCTTGGTTTCATGAATATGGGACATATCTATTATACACATGCCCGTGTATACACAATCTAGAGAGGTTTGCCGATTATAACGATATAAGGATTGTAATGATACAATATACTCTAACGTGTTTTTTTTAATATATATAAATGGACTATTTTTCTATCGCAAGTGGCCAGTGGGTATTAAAGTAACGAGAAGAAAAGAGTCACAAACAGTACTAATTATAAGGAAGTGAGGGAAGAATGGTACTGCATTACATTGCCTTCATCTTTCTTTGAAACTTGAAGGGATTGGGTATCTTTGTCTCAGATTCTGAAACAAAATCCTGAATTTAGCTCATGCTGCAATGATAATTATAAGCCTTTAGGTCAGTCAAGAACCCAATGACTTTTACAAGCCGATAACCTGTCTGATTATCAAGATATATATGATTGGAAATTAAAATTCAAAAATTCGTTTTCCTAACGGTTTTTTTAACGCTACAGTCTATTGGGGAAAATGGGGATGGTAAAACCAGTCACTCAAATACTTTTTTTTAAAGGCACTTTATGATCATTGTGAAGCGCAATTTTTTTTAGGGCTTCAATATTACACCACATATATGTCTCATTTGCAGCCAACATCAAATTCTGTAGAACTTTGCAGGAATTATGAACATATATGTATGTCTTGTATGTCCTATCTGTGAAAATTAAACGATAGCAGCTTCCTAATATTACAATTATGCAAGGAAACCTGTTCACTTTCTAAACTTCACTGTCAGACACTATTGAATGACTGACAAACTTTTGTTTGTGGTAATAACATACACAAAATGAGCTGGAAAGGGTACATGAACATTTGTCTGCATCAACAACCCAATTCTTGTAATGGTCAGAATTAAACTGATTAAATCTTTGCGCAGCACAAAATATACGACCATTCGGTACAAGGGTCTGATAATCAGACTATTACTGTAGTGATTGCAATCACTCAAAGTCGATCCAACAACTAATGGTCGTTTTCTTCCCACTTAAAGACTTTTTCAAGCCCTTTCGTTTTGAGGGAAGTTCTAAATTATGATTAGTATTACTTATTAGTAGTAACCCATTCCAAAAAAAAAGTAGACTTTCCAAAAAAGTCTAAAAAAATGGACCGTTTCATGCAATTTCAGATGGTCTAAAATAATACTTTTTCACTCAAATAGAACTAAATTTCTTGGGTTACAGAAAATAATGGTCCTTACCTTTGTCGTTATAGAACAATGTTCTTGCAAGTATCCATCAAAGGTTCGTCGATTGCCACACTTTATTCTTACCAACGTTCGTCGATCGCCACACTTTACTTTGACCAAGGTTCGTCGATTGCCACACCTTGATCTGTCCAAGGTTTGTAGATCGCCACACTTTACTTTGACCAAGGTTCGTCGATTGCCACACCTTGATCTGTCCAAGGTTTTTCGATCGCCACACTTTACTTTGACCAAGGTTCGTCGATCGCCACACTTTACTCTTTCCAAGGTTTGTCGATCGCCGCACTTTACTCTTTCCAAGGCTCGTCGGTCGCCACACTTTACTCTTTCCAAGGCTCGTTGATCGCCACACTTTACTCTTTCCAAAGTTTGTCGATCGCCACACCTTGATCTGTCCAAGGCTAGTCGATCGCCACACTCTTTCCAAGGTTTGTCGATCGCCGCACTTTACTCTTTTCAAGGCTCGTCGGTCGCCACACTTTACTCTTTTCAAGGTTCGTCAATCGCCACACTTTTCTTTGATCAAGGTTCGTCGATCGCCACACTTTATTATTACCAAGGTTCGTCGATCGCCACACTTTATTATTACCAACGTTCGTCGTTTGCCACACTTTACTCTTTCCAAGGTTTGTCGATTGCCCCACCTTGATCTGTCCAAGGTTTGTCGATTGCCACACCTTGATCTGTCCAAGGTTTGTCGATTGCCACACTTTATTCTTACCAACGTTCATCGATTGCCACACTTTACTCTTCCCAATTTTCGTTGATCGCCACACCATACTCTTACTAAGGTTCGTCGATCGCCACACTTTACTCTTTCCAATGTTTGTCGATCGCCACACCATACTCTTACTAAGGTTCGTCGATTGCCACACTTTACTCTTTCAAAGGTTCGTCGATCTCCACGCCACATTGTTACCAAGGTTCGTCGATCACCACACTTTACTCTTTCAGAGGTATGCAATTGCCACACCTTGAACTGTCCAAGGTTTGTTGAATGTGACACTTATCTCATACAGAACAATGTATATCAATCATAATCAAATCTTTGAAACAACAAAGTAGTTTTTATTCAAAATATATATATATATATATATATGCAGGCCTGATAAAAACCCGATTTAAATCGGTTTCCCGATTTTTTTGATTTTTCCCGATTTTTTCCCGATTTTTTTTTTCTTCCTGATTTAAAAAAAAAAAAAAAAAAAAAAAAAAAAAAAACGTTTTTTTTTTTTTTTTTTTTTTTTACCAGATTTTTTTTTCTTCCCTTTTTTATCCTGATTTTCCTGATTCCCCCCTTATTTTCTCTATTCTTCCCTATTTTGCCCTATTTTTTTCTCCCAATTTTCTTACTCGAAAGGGGGGAATGTTGTTAGATGCCGTTTTTTCCCCGCGAATCGCCTTTTTTTTTTTACTCAAGGGGGGCGTGGTTGAGGGGAAAACAAAAAACCTATTTTTTTTTTAGTGCTCACTATCACCCCTGTATATGATATTCACTTTATTATTACTCTTACAAGTGCTGGTAATCAACTGCAGTCCATGTTCCCCTGTTCAGGACATTTTGGGAACCACTCATAAATGGGTTAATGTAACATGGGTTTAAGAAAGTGAAAAATGCTTGTTATTACAGAGTGAAAGGTCTGTATTACTATTTGAATTAAATGAATACATATGGAAGACTTATGTTTTTCAAAATATTATCATAGGAACATGAATATTCTAGTTATAGAAATATTTGAAAAATTCAAAGATCATTTCAGTAATGCAGATATTTAAACATTATCTATATATGAAAAAAATAGAAGGAAAACAAAATTGTCATTGTTACACTCATTACAAATTACATTGAAACAACTTTTAAACTAGCTCTGATAACAATGGTTTATGTATAAACAGGGAGCCCCCCCCCCAAAAAAAAAAACAAAAAAAAAAAAACACAACAACAACAACAACAATGCAATGGGGAACTTTCCAAAATAAAGTAACAAAATGATTGTGTCCACCGGATAGAATGTCCGTTCAGATGAGAAACGATACCAAGAACAGTAATTTTGGACGAGTAGTTTTTGTTGTAAGACGTCTTAAGTAAGACCATGTCAGGTTCCCACTTTTGCCATTTTTACCAAGTCACTTCCTTATAAATCGCAGTTCCTGTCATCATATCATCGAGCAACTATGCCCATCATTGGCACACAGCTGAATGCACACTAATAATGGCATACGTATTGCTCATTGTTCGACGCTAATTAAGGCGCATTGACTTGGTAAAAATTGACAAAAAAGGGAACCTGACATGGTGTCACTCTAAGAGATGCAAAACTACACTACCAAAAGGACTATTCTTGGTATCGTTTTCATTGGAAAGGGCACCCTATCTGTTGGACATATTAATTTTGTTGAAAAATCAACTGGTTACATCACAAATCCATCTGTTCATTAATTTCTCTCTACTCCCTAAATCATCAATGTGTAGCATTGAAAAGATATGCCTTTACACTGATTACATTAAAGGGGTGGTATAGTTTTGGCAAGGCCGAGCTTTAGTATCCAAAACATGCACAATAACATTACAAACAAATAAGTACAACACCACCATGCTCGAAAGGTAAAGAAAAAGTGACTTAGTAAAAGGCCCATCATTATTTTTAAAAAAGCCATTCAAACAAAAGAGGGTGCTCTCTAAAAAGCAGTGGTTTCAACCATTTTTCATACAAAATTATGCATTTGATGTCTGTCATTAAAATTGTAGACATTTTCAAGTCTTACACTCAGTTTTTCATTATCTCACAAAATAAAGCCTAATTTGCTTATTTGCATACACACAGAGTGTCTCTGGCTTAATTTTCTTCTTTTGATCCAAGGAATATGTAAATTCCAATATCTTGGTAAAAACACCATTGTAATAGATATTCCATTTCCATTAAAGGGATCCGGTAACTTTGTTTTAGATTCTGAAACAAAATCCTGGAGTTAGCTCATGCTGCAATGATAATTATAAACCTTTAGGTGAATCAGGAACCCCATGAATTTTACAAGCCGATCGCCTGTCTGATTATTAAGATATTTATGATTGGAAAATCACACTACAGTCTATTGGGGAAAACAAGTTTGGTAAAACCGGTCACAGATTTTTAAAAACTTTTTTGAGGCACTTCTTGATCATTTTGAAGCGCGAATTTTTTTAGGGCTTCAATATTACACAATGTCACAGACACTGATAACACGTAGGGCCGTGCATCTCAGATTTAACATTGTTAAACGATGCCTATGATACATTTGAATAAATTATGCAAATTAGGCCTAATTTGCATATAAACAGAGCTTAACAAAACAAATCTTTTGATCCAAAAAATATGTTCTCTTTTAAATGTGTCAATAAATTAAGACACCATTGTAATGGAATATCATATTACAATGAATAAATTTGCATAAATTATGGAAGTTAGACCTAATTTGCATAGATACAGAGTTTGGATGAATTTTTTTTTTTTTGATCCAAGGAATATGTGTCCTTAGTAATCATCGTACCTCAAAATGCAACAAGCCTACTATAATTCACACATTTTGGCTCATAGCACATATATCTGGCCACTTTATGTGGGTTTGAGGAAAGGGAGTCACATATGAAATTCACTATTCATTTGTTTAGCAATTTCTACTTTGTCCTTCATAAGAGGGTGTGTGAAAAATTCATCCTTTTCATGCACGTACTGTACACGAAGGGTGCAAATGATAAACTGATTCTCCACGTCCTGAACATCTGTCTTGGAAAGCCTCCGCCCTTTCAGAAATCGGACAGAGGCAATACCATTTACATTGTCCAGGTGCGAAACTTGTCCAATGGGGGGAAATCTGCTGCCTGAATAAAACACAGCCACCCAGTCTCCTTGGACAACAGTTTTTCCATTCCACAGGTGAAGCTGCAATGGAAAAAACATTTGAATTATTGGTTAGTAATTTTATATAAACAGTTCAAACATGTCAAGAATGATATGCAAAATGAGATTATTCTACAAACCAAGACAATAACAATTTTTTTTTCTTTCTTTCTGATGCAAGCAGGATTGGTGCTGGGCGCATCATCATACTTTTTGTTGAACTGATTCATGAATAATTCTATTTGGCCTGATAGTCTTCAACTTCAAACTTTGTGTACCTTTTTGGTTTCGATCATGCCGTTACACTACATACAAGGTCATTTGCAAAATTACAATCATAACAATGGAGCACATACATCTTTAAATCATTTATAACACATATACTAGGCTATTGTACATTATAGATGTTAAACACAAATATTCATGCTAAAATATGTCATGCATTAATAATAATCTATATACTTTAATTGCATTGAGTGAGCAACTATCAATACCTTAGAAGAAATATTCTCACCTTATCTATGCAGTTATCAATTAGGCCCAGGAAAGAAATGATGAACGAATGGTGATTATCCAGAATGATGTATCCTTCTTAAATTGTAGTCCAAGTTTAGGTGCACACCAATTCCTTTATATAGTGTTATGTAATGGTAGTACAAGTCTACACCCCTCGGTAATAATATGTAATATCACTCAGTATATGCCCCAATACAGATAAGACCCACCCTGCGAAATACCAGACCTCCTTCCAAGACATTTGTTTAATAACTTATTCTAGCCAAATAAACCCCAAATTGTATACACTCGATAAGAGCCCCCAAACCTCCAAAACAAAAGAGTTCCTGTCTTTCTCCCGATAACCAAAACCCCCTTTGTTTCATAAGACCCTTTCCCAGAACAGATTACATGTGTTAGCTAAATGACTGTGAGAGGGAACTTGTTTTTGTTCCTTTGACACAATGTAACCTACCCTCATATCCATTTTGTATCCTTCTGTATAAATTATGACATGTTCTGGCTTTGTAGAGAGGAGTTTAGTTTTGATCTCCATTTGATCAAGACCCTCTTTCTAGCTGGCTCTCTCTTCATCTTGTATTTTACAATGTGGAAGTTCATAATGAGGTGACCGATTCGAGTCTCCAAAGTTTGGAGATAATAAATACTCTTAATATAGTCTATCCTTACTTCTTCATATTTATTGATGTACCTCTCCTACCGCCAATAACATAACACACCGATCCCAACACAACAATAGGCCTACATAGACTTCCATGGAGATATTGGGATGTATTTCATAGTAAAGAGACCATTTCTTTTAGACTAAAGCTTAATTTTTGATGGGCCAGAGAGTGTGTTTGTTCGGTGATAACACAACTTGACAAAAAGGCATCTTAATTATTATTGCGCATGTTTTTTTTGCTATAGCAGGCTGCATGGATCAGTCCTAAATTTTGAATCAGTGCATGGCTGCTGCTACAGAGTTTCAGCCATACTTTCAACCATGTAAAATACCTACAAGCATGTATCCAACCTCGATCTTCATCGCTTCTGAGCATATTTTCCGCTTCATGTTAACTTTGGGGTAATGCATGGATTTTGAGGCCTTGAGCTCAAATTTTAATTAGGATTTCACGACTATACTTGATATTTCTGATTTGCTTGCTTCTGCATATTTTTTTTTTTTATCATGTATTTTATTTATAAAAAAGTTTCAATTACTGTAAATGTACATTCACAGTCTGCAGGTTTTTATTTCAAATTGATACATAACAATTTTGTTTTATTTAGATTTAGAAAAGCTGTAATTCTATTCTTTGGAAGAGCATATAATTTCATTCATGAATTGATTTCAAATGGTAGGTGGAAGAGTGTGCTCAAAACTAACATTTCCTAAATTCCTTGACCTCTATTTATCAAACCATAGACTTACATGTTTTAAGTCTATGAACAAACAAACCTACAGAAGCAAAAGATCCCTCCTCAAAACATGGATTTATTATTGTATAACTCCATACCCTTGACAATTAACATAACAAAGTTTATCTGTCATGACGAAAACTCGTCGTTTAAAATTGAAACCCCCATTTGACTTTCACCATTTCTACTTGTACTAGAGCTGAGATTGTGATAAGCCCTATGTAAACACTATAGCGCTGTAATCCACCCCACCGAGACCTTGATGAGGTGAGATAAGCATGATACAAGGGGAAAGGAAGGGAGAAGGGAGAAAGACACATGCAGGGGTTGCTGCCAGAGTTAAAATTGTTGTTATATTGCCAATTATGGGTCATTTTGCTTCGTTCGAACTTTCATTTTGGTCTTCATCTAAATTATTAGTGACTTTAGGACATGAAAATATCTTAAAACAAGTAAAATACTTATTTCCTACTTCTCATTTCCTTTCAGGCAGACCCCAGTAAGAGTTTGTTTACACTAGTATTACGTAAGATGATGAAGAGTCCCACTGCAATCAAATATCTTAATCTCTCACTTAGAGCTTCAAGGCTCGATCTGTCCAAGTTTTTAAGGAGAGAATCGAAAGTGGGGTAGTGGTATTGAGACAGACATTGACAGGAAGTATAATATTATGTTAGGAAAATATCTACATTATGTGGTAAGCCAAAATTCAGCGAGATGCACCCCCGATAAAAATGGTTATTTAACGTGTATATCCGACTCTTCAAATGTTTTTTTTTGCAAGTTTTTTGGGGTGTTTTTTTCAAATTTTGAAACTTCACTCACTATTTATTGAATAGTACATTATAATGTCTATAGTTCTGGCTCAATATTCATGACGAATTCAATGTCATTATATGAATCCTGAGCATAGCAGAAAGATGAGAACTGTGCCATGTTTTTGCTTATTACGTATTCATGAGGAGCAAAAACGTGCATACGACTTGAATAAATACGGGCGATTTGGCAAGCGCTGCGGTCTGACTGGGTAGTGAGACCCCATCAGATTTCCATTGGTGCCTGTGTAATAGTAGTAGCTCTCTCAAAGTTTTAACGAGAGAAACAAAACTGTGGTAGTGCTACCCCACCAGATTACATTGACTGCTGTGCTATAGTGGTGGGGTACAACGAGAGCTTTTCGTAATGTCATAATGCCCCTGCCACAAGTTTTACATACATCCACTCACTCGCACGCGCTCCCACACACTTACACACACACACACATTCTCACATCAGGGCCTTTGTGGGGCACCTGATTGTGGGGTATTTCTGTGCGTTCCAGATATACCTTGTGGTCCCCTACTAGTGGGGTATGTACAACCTGGCGATAACAACCCGGCGGTGTGCTTACGATGTTACCATAAAAAAGTGTGCAAGTTTTAGCACACGCTCACAAAAAGTCATTTATGGGGTACCACTTCTAATGCCCCGCAGGGCATAGGACACCGAATATACAGTCATTTGAAAGACTTTACTCTGTGGGGTCCTGAAAAAATACCCCACAAAGTAAAAATGCCTCACAAGGGGTATGTGAAGCGCACATAAAACCCCACAAGAATGCTGAGGTGAGAGCGCACACGCACACAGAGCAAATGCAAACACCATAATCGTACTCCCAAACCAACACAGTGCATCAACCTACATTGCCAACTCATTGCAGATGAGGTGATGTACTTCTGGCCAATGATATATCGTGCAGGGAGGTGGATAGTGGAAGTATTTTCTGTAGAGCATGTCGTAAGCAGAAAGTCTACATTATAGGCCTACTGACAGGAGTCATTCACTGCATTGAAAAACTATAAAAACTTAATCTCTGTGAATATCAGTCAATCATATCATGATTGAAAATAATCATTATATTGTCAGATATAACAAGTCTAAGACTCTAACATGGCTACAGCAGCAGGGATTAATCATATTCATGATCTGTCTATCGATGACATGGATTTTCATTCAGGCAGTATTTATGAGTGAGTTACTACAAGATTTATTGCAACTAAGTCTGCATGATGTAGACCTAGCAAAAGCACCAGTATGTATTGCTGCCAGTACTCCCAAGAAAAAGCAAAAATTTGCTCCCTCGACTTCACTCAGTCAGGACGATTTGTCTATTGATGGTATGGATATATCACAATTGAGTCTTGATGATGTATCTTCTGAAAATCATCAAGTTGGCGCTAGAAAACAACATGGCGATCTCTTCACTCATCATTTGGATGAATATTCATTCAATGAATCAGACACTGCTCATCATCAAGAATTTGTGCAACCACCATTGTGTAACATCGGAAACACCCTTCTTGTGATTACAAAAAATTATTTGATTTGAAAGGCCTGATTTGTGATTTGACTTGTGTTAAAACTTATAATAACTTATTTCAAAACAATTTATTCACTCTAGATACCCTTAAATATGGATTATCATCATTTAATTGGGTTTCTTTGCTTTGGACATTGCGGAAAATTGGTTTTAACCATTAAATAGTATTGTAATAATGTATTGCAAATTTTTTGTTTTGGTGGGTAGCTGCCATGTGATGTTAACAAAATGTTAGGATAGATATGTCCTGCAGTTCATATATTTTCTACTACTTTAAATTCAAAGTTGTTTCGGAAGTTACAAAATTGTTTACAGAAAATTTGAGACAACTTTTTCAAATTTTGAGTATTTTTCGAATATTAGCGCTACTATAATTAAATTATATTTTCCTTCAATATAATCACTTGGAGTAACTAATAAGCTCATTCAAACCATATACAATCTCATTAATTTATTGTTCTAGTGGGTTAAATGAGGGTCTACATTGTTTACGGAAAATGTAACGTCCGAAGCACCATTTTCAATTGCTCTGTTCCATTAAAATACAGGAGTTGAATCAGATTACTGTTATTTTTCTTTAAGATCCACCCATGCTCATTAATCATCAATAGAAAGAAGAAAACAAATGTTTGTTGCTATATATTTTTTTCAGCTCAAACCAAAATGGTATGTCAATTTTGTTACAAAATTCTGTAAACAATTTGCTGCTCAGGGATACCTCATGCATATAAAGCAACATTTTTTATTAAGCTATGGCCTATGGGAGGTCAATCTAGGTCCATGCTACAAGAAAAAGTTGTAACTGATGTCTAATTCTTTATCTTTGAAAAGTTTCAGGCTCTCAAAGGGCCATTTAGCTATTTTGTCATAGTTTTAAAAAAACAACAGTACCATGCATATACACAAGGAGAGTATCTTTTTAGGGGGGAGGTAATGGGGTCAATGCCTGATAGTGATAGTCTTGTATTTCAGGCAGTGATAGTGTTATCAGTGTTAATATCTCACAAAAACCTCTTTTTAAAAGAGGAAGCATTAAAAAAGAAAATGGCGGCTGGTTTTGTGTAGAGCCCTCGATCTATACCAAAACTGAACTATCCCTTGAAGAGAATACATGTAGTTTCTAAACTAAAATATACATTATAATCTTGTGCAGCCACTCACTTGGCATTCGTGCCTCTTGTATATTAGTGACAAAGATGTTCAAAGACAACCTTGAACATTGATCTCAAAAGCTCTCAATATTGTGATTGTTTATAGACATACCATGCAAAAAGCTGTACCAATTTTATTGAGATTTCAGAGTCTTGATGGGAATGGTTTCCAAAACTTGGCCTATCGGCATATAATGCATGTGTTCGTTTATGATATTTAATAAGTTCACAGTGTCGATATGCATTGAATAGTCATAAATTGTCTGAATGAAATATACTGCACAGCATAATTCCTATAGGTTTGGGTAATTCTAATTATAGGCATTATTGTGCATGTAGGTAAATGTATAAAACAAAGTGGTTGTAGTTTGTTATAGTCTGTTATTCCACACGCAATGAATTGTATGCAATTGTTTTGTACCTAAATAATGATTCTTTCATGTCATTCACAAATTACATTTCCACACGACAAATATTTTGCAATTTGTCATACCCATGATATGTTAAAAATGGGATGTAAGTTATAACCAGTACGTAGCCTTCATTGATCTTGAATTAAAGCATCTTCAATATTTATAATATGTCAATTGTATTGACTTTGAATACATACAGTATTTCTGTTCACATATTATTTATACATATTTACAATGATTCTTAATAGTTATTGACAGTGCTGTAATGAGCAAACAATTTTGGGGGTCAGAAGAAAGTCTTCATCCATTCATCACCATGCAGGTATAGCATAATGGCAAGATTGGCAGGGTTGCAAACTTAGAGCTTGAGACTTTGTGAGGGAGTGAAGCAACTGAGCTGGGGGTTGGGGGTTGGGGGGGGGGGGTGGGTGAGGGCAGGGTCCGAGGATGTTTGAGCGGTGTCTCCCTCTCCCACGATAGGGAGATTTTGCATTTTCTTCTTAATAATGTGCAAGCTGGTCCATACCGGTCCTACAATTCAGTTATATGTGGTTAAGTGCATAATGATTTTACCGATTGTGATCAAGTTAAACTTTTGTCATGAAGAAAACATAATTATACCAAAATATGCACGCCAAGAATTAATGTTCATGCCCATTTAAAGCATAACACCACATATACTTATGATACAACAACATGAACAAGATATACCAGATGCAGACAAGACCGATTCCCGATCGAGGGAGCATAG